AATAGTATTTTTGTAAATGTACACCTTTAAATGATATTCTTGCAAATGTGCACACAAAAAATGGCATTTTTGTAGTTGTCCCTTTTCCTTTTCCTTTTTTACTCATAACTACGTATATCTTTTCTTATGTAGTAGTAAAAGATATCAATTTCCAATTAAAAAATGATTAAGATTTGAAATCGAAATGTATAATACTCATTTAAGAAATTTTACACATACTAAAAAAAATATATTAATTTTTTTGATTTATTAATAAATTATTATTTTTTGTACTAAATTGTTTTCTATAGTAGTTTAAAAAAATCAATTAATATGTCTTAAAATTACAATTTATTATTATTAGTTCATAAAAACTGTATTAAAAATTAAAAATATCATATATTTTGAAATAATTTTTTTTTTAAAATACCATACATATTCAAACGGAGAGAGTATTTTATTCTTTGACTTATCCTCAATAACTGAAATTAATGCAATTATTATTATTAAATTTGGGTATGCGTGAAGGTTGACACGTGGACAAAACTAACGTATAGGAGGGAGGAAGGAAGAGAAGGGCAGTGTTGTCATTGTAGTAGCGTTCCCTCTCTGTCTTTTGTCCTTTTGGTTATATAAACAAGAAGCAGAACAAAGAAGACCACTTCATTTGTCACGTACCTCTCACTCTCAGGCTGAATAATGGACGCCGAGAAAGCTGCCGCTAACAATGGTGTGGACCACGAGCGTTGTCCCGTCGAGGAGGTTGCTCTGGTTGTTCCGGAGACCGACGACCCGAGCCTTCCGGTGATGACGTTCAGGGCTTGGTTCCTTGGTCTCACCTCCTGCATCCTCCTCATCTTTCTCAACACCTTCTTCACATACCGCACGCAGCCTCTCACCATCTCCGCCATCCTGATGCAGATCGCCGTCTTGCCCATCGGTAAGTTCATGGCTCGGACCCTCCCCACCACCTCCCACCGCTTCCTAGGCCGGGAATTCAGCCTAAACCCTGGTCCCTTCAATATCAAGGAGCACGTCATTATCACCATCTTCGCAAATTGTGGCGTCTCTTTTGGTGGCGGTGACGCTTACTCCATTGGAGCCATCACTGTCATGAAGGCTTACTACAAGCAGAGCCTCAGCTTCATCTGCGCTCTCTTCATCGTCTTGACCACTCAGGTCCAGATCTTTTTATTCTCTCTCTCACTCTGTTTCTTCAGGTCTAAAAACTTAATTCTGTGAATTTTCTTCTATTGCAGATTTTGGGGTATGGCTGGGCTGGAATTCTGAGGAGGTACCTTGTTGACCCCGTGGAGATGTGGTGGCCTTCCAATCTTGCTCAAGTTTCTCTCTTCAGGTTTTAATCCAATCTCTAGTCTCCTTTGAGCTTCTTCTAATGGATTTGAGGAATAATCAAGAATAAGTACGGTTTCATCTTTGGTTGGTTTGTTTCAGAGCGTTGCACGAGAAGGAAAACAAGCAGTCGAAAGGCTTGACGAGGATGCAGTTCTTTCTAGTGGCTTTTGGTGCCAGCTTTCTTTACTACGCACTCCCAGGCTATCTATTCCCAATCTTGACCTTCTTCTCTTGGGTTTGCTGGGCTTGGCCTCACAGCATCACTGCTCAGCAGGTTGGCTCTGGCTACCATGGCCTCGGTGTTGGAGCCTTCACTCTCGACTGGGCTGGCATCTCCGCTTACCATGGCAGTCCCTTGGTGGCTCCATGGTCCTCTATCCTCAACGTTGGCGTTGGTTTCATCATGTTCATCTACATCATCATCCCTCTCTGTTACTGGAAGTACAACACCTTCGACTCCAGAAAATTCCCTATTTTCTCCAATCAGCTCTTCACTCACAGTGGCCAGAAATACGACACCACCAAGATCCTTACCCCTCACTTTGATCTTGATATTTCTGCCTATAACAGTTACAGCAAGCTTTACCTCAGCCCTCTTTTCGCCCTCTCTATCGGGTCTGGGTTTGCGAGATTCACAGCAACACTAACTCATGTGGCATTGTTCAACGGCAGGTTCGTTAGCTGTCCTTTGTTTTCACTAATTATGCTGACTAGCTATGGACACTACGACAAGTNAAAGTGAAAGTGAATCTTCTTCACTTGGCGTGCAGGGACATATGGAGGCAGACTTGGTCCGCAGTGAAGACCGTGAAGCTTGACGTTCATGCCAGATTGATGAAAAGCTACAAACAAGTGCCTGAGTGGTGGTTTTATGCATTGCTAGGTGGAAGTGTAGGCATATCTCTCCTCATGTCTTTTGTGTGGAAGGAAAGTGTGCAGCTTCCATGGTGGGGAATGCTCTTTGCTTTTGCCTTGGCCTTTGTTGTCACTCTCCCTATCGGTGTCATTCAAGCAACCACAAACCAGGTTTCATAATCACTAGTAGTTTGAGTCCATTAGATAAGGCCTTCAATTACACATGCTCATATATACCTTTTTGTGTTTAAAACGCAGCAACCAGGGTATGACATAATAGCTCAGTTCATGATCGGTTATATCCTGCCTGGAAAACCCATTGCAAACCTGATTTTCAAGATCTACGGGCGAATCAGCACAGTCCACGCTCTCTCCTTCTTGGCAGACCTTAAGCTTGGCCATTACATGAAAATCCCACCGCGCTGTATGTACACTGCTCAGCTGGTGGGCACTGTGGTAGCTGGTGCAGTGAACCTTGGAGTGGCCTGGTGGATGCTTGAGAGCATTCAAGACATATGCGACATCGAAGGAATGCACCCTAATAGCCCCTGGACTTGCCCCAAGTACAGAGTGACGTTCGATGCTTCAGTCATTTGGGGGTTGATAGGACCAAAACGGCTGTTTGGAGCAGGAGGCATGTACCGTAACCTGGTCTGGCTCTTCCTCATCGGAGCTGTCCTGCCTGTTCCCGTGTGGGCGCTGAGCAAGATCTTCCCAAACAAGAAGTGGATCCCTCTCATCAACATTCCAGTTATCTCCTACGGCTTTGCAGGGATGCCTCCAGCCACTCCAACCAACATCGCGAGCTGGCTGGCCACAGGAACCATCTTCAACTACTTTGTGTTCAAGTACCACAAGAGATGGTGGCAGAAGTACAACTATGTGCTCTCTGCAGCGCTTGATGCAGGGACTGCATTCATGGGTGTGCTATTGTTCTTCGCCCTGCAGAACGCTGGACACGACCTCAAATGGTGGGGGACTGAAGTGGATCACTGCCCTCTTGCATCCTGTCCCACAGCCCCTGGAATCATAGCCAAAGGATGTCCCGTTTTCTAAGGGCCAATCTCTATATTCAGAAAGTGATTAGATTCAAACATATAAATGAAATGTTTTGCCTAGGCTATTGCTTCTTCTGTACAGCCTTTCTAATGCTAGATACGTGGCCATCAGAATGCAATAAACTCTACTTTTTTTATATGTGAGAATGTACGATTAACTGGGAAAGGGCTTTGCGTTGACGCCCATTGAGACCTGTGTTATCTTTTGCTTTTCACGATAACACAAGTTGCAGAGGCAAAAGATGTCACCTGTTGCAGAAGAAGCATATGATCATCTGTCACATTCACACATGCCTTTTGCTAGATTTGAAGCCAAATAACAATTCAAGACTGGCAGGTGACAACTGTTGTGAAAACTTGAAAGCAAAAAGTAAAAAAAAAAAAGGATATGCCGGTTTTACAAGTGAAGTCGTTCCTGCATTCTTCTTTTCTAAATTATGCTAAAAACGGATGATGAAGTCTTCAAATCAAAAGATTACACTGACATTGACTGAATACTGCATCTTCATTCTGTTGGTAAACCTTATTGACAACATTAAAAGATAACAAAATTCTCCGTATCGAGGAAATACTTTGCCTGCAATTACTCTCTTTGCATGGCTCCTTCCTATAGCCTCACTCACCCATTCTCCATGAGTCAACTTCAAATTAGATAACGAGCATGTTGTCGAGTTTTCACATGCTACCCACTGGAATTGGCATCATCTTCTTACCTCTGCAGGGACTTGTAGAGCACCACAGTTACATACTTTGCTCGAAAGCGGTGAGTGGAACCAAGGGCAACCACAGAAGGACCACTTTTGCCTTTCTGCATGTAAAGATGATTGAGAATGACATGCTGAGGCCTCGGTAGCGGAGGTGGAATGTCAGGGTTGACTGACGGCAAGTTGAGCAGCGTCATCTGTAGGTGCGGGGGAACCACAGGCGGTTCTTTCGAGTAGTCCTCAGCTCCCAGAAGCAAGTTGCTGTAACTAGACTCTGGAGATTGTGGGGGCTCGAACCCAGATATGCTTTGAATGTCTTCAGGAACATAGTCCTGCATACAGCAGAGTATCTCTGCTGTTTCAGACACAGCTAGGCAAGCAGAGAGCATATATGGACAACTATAAAACACTGGCTTAGCATTATTTACAAATCAACAACATGTACTCTCTTTTGCATTCCCTACAACCCTGGTTAGGTTCAAACCCTCCTGATTATCTGAACCATTTCAGCACTCTGATTCCTACAAAGCAATGGATTTGAAAGGCATATGAAAGAAGGTACCTGGAGGTCCAAAATGTTGAAAGTGTTGCCAGCATCGTCTCGAGCCAAGGGGAGCTCAGGGGCATGCCTCCACTGTCCATCCACAATGAACCTGTACTCGTAGACGCCTGAGGGAAGCACTTTCATGATTGTGAAGTCTTTCCCAGATCTCTGCAGCCGACTTCTGCTCAGCACCCAAACACACAACAAGAACAACTTGAGAGGAGGTTTAATTTGAATGAATGATAAGCAAGTAGGAAGAAACCTTGTCTTCCAGTTGTCCCATGATCCCTCGACGGCGATTTCCTTGCCACCATGGCACCATGTGATCATGGTGGGGATACCTTGCTCGTTGGAAGGCTCTTCGTACAAGGAGGAAGGCGATTGCATCCACGAGGGGTTTGGGATGTGAATTTCATCGGGCCTCTGCAGTGGAAGCTCGGGAACCTAAAAGGCACAAACTTTGGGGGGTGAGACATGAAAATCAGCTTCGGATCTCGGATTTGAGATTGGGGAAAAGTGAATCTGGAAAAGAGCGAACCTGGGGAGCGAACATGAGAGGGGACTGGGTGGCTCGAGGGCTGTGAGGAGGGGATTGACCCATGAGCTCAGGCGGAGGGGGATGGGTGCCGTCGGAGGAGGACATGGCCTCGCGGGAGGAGCAAATCTCAGCGTCGTCGGCAGAAGCGGTATTACTGATCGCTTCTTCTCTCGCGTTCACGTTACCCATATCACCACCCAAAAGGCAAAGGCAATCAATCTCTTTCTTCCTTGGCCTCTAATAAAAATTACAACAGCAGCAGCAACCAGATGCCAAATTTGTTAAAATGGACCACCAAAACTCTCACCCAAAATTCATGAGTTACGCAAAAGACAGGCCCGTTTTTAAAAAGATCCGTGCTTTTCGTGTATAGAGAGAGAGAGTGAGAAACTGATCAAAAGAGTAGGGACGGAGAAATTGAGGGAATAAGTAGTAAGGCTCTTGAGATCAGAAACTAAAAAGAAAGCAGGAAAGCGGAAAAAGGCCCCATCTTTTGATCCAACTCCACACAAATATCAAATCGATCCAACGAACGAACAACCCTTTGTTTTTCTTTGTCACTCATTCATCAAATCCCACTTTCACTGTCTTCGTTTTCTTAATTGCATTTGTCACCCTATAGTTTGATTTGGCTACCCGTACCCCCCCCCCTCACACCACCAACATTTGGTCAATCAGTCATGATTTTCACTGGCATGTGGATTGTATGGTACCAAATATTACATGTCCTTAATGTACATCAAGTCACTCGTTGTTATGCAGGAAAAATCAATTGTTTCCTTGGCTAATACTCTTTTTTTTGTTTAAAATGTAAAATATTTTGACAATCTTAAATACTTTTTAATCTTATTAAATATTGTGTGACTACTAACATTTTACAGTCTTTTATGTGATTGGTCAAATTAATTTTATTAGATATATTAAATGATACTTTTTAGAAGAAAAATAGTTTTTTAATATCTGCGCTTTTACTTAAAACATCTTTACATTTTGAAACGGAGGAGGAAGTACAATGTAACAATTCCGCACATCTTTTATTTTCCCACCAATTAAGGTTTGGCTAATACAAGAAATAATCTCATTAATACAAGAGAAAAGCAAATGATCCTAGGGCTAATATTCGTTTTAAGAATTGCCTCTTGTTGATAGTTATGGAGAGTGGAAGTGTTACTGAATTTTGGGAGTTAGCATGGAGAGGACAAGGAAGATCAATCACAAAATCTACCTTGGATCCACATCTGAAGAAGATAAAAGTGAGTTTGCAAACCCATTTTTTTATTGATGGAGCGGAAACTTCTAGGGATAGAACTAAATCCGAAAATACCCGGAAACTAGAGTTTGAGAGTCATCATCTCAGGGCTTTCGCAAAAGCTCTTAGGGTTTGTTTATACTCTTCACAGTGATTTATCAAAACCTTTTTAGACTTTTCAATTAATCAAATCATCAATAACTTAATACAATAGGAGTCTTAAGAAGTCTATTTATGATAAAACTTGAAAACCTTGGAATATTCTAGAAAATTCTAAAAAAATAAATATTAAAATACAAATAAATCATAATTATCCTAATTATGGGCTGCACCATTCGTCATCCTTCTCTGCCAAGTTTGTTTGTGGATGTATCAATTTTTGTCTGTATTCATATTTGGTTGGTAAGCTTAGTATGTATGTCCTAAAATGACTGACATCTCTCCGGACACCGGACTAAGCTTGCCCCCAACGAATACATCATCTCTTTTTCTTCTTTTTCATAATAAAGCTGGATTGGATGTTTAACAAAAGAAAAGAAAAAAGTAGTAAAAAAAAAGCAGGCACGTTATATAAAAGCAGGCCATCCATAAAAATGGGCCTTCTAAGGTTTCAGATTTTGATGGGCTTTTGGAGAAGTGGGCCTCTGATTGTGCTTGTGCGTTTGGTAGAGGAGGATGAGTTTCAAACCATCATCGTTCTCGCCTTCTAGGTCATCTGCATTCCACAATCCTCGCCTTTCTTCGATAAATCTCCCTTGGACCATTCGCGTCATCGGTCGATTTTGCCTCCAGGTTCTCTCTCTCTCTCTCAGTCATTTCTTTTTGTAATTCAAGTGATCCATTGAAGCCTGACCATGCTCCTCGTGGGTTCAATTGAGTATTGTGCAAACTGAGGAACAAGGATTGTTTTCGTGCTTGGATTCAATCCTACAAAACTCACCTTCAGGCTTGTTTTGTAAATTAGTTTTGATGATGAATGCATTATAGTATTTTTATTATACTGTCTCGAACCAGTAAAATGTCAACTTGTCCAACTAAGAGACGACTAAGTTACGCCGACGAACTTGTAGATCCTTTCTTAGGTCTCAGCAGCCAATGAACAGCTCTTTTCGAGAGATCGTGTTGTTCCAGAAAGCAAAACAACAACAACACTTTGAACAAGTCGTGTAATCTCAAGATTCGTTACTCATAAACTAGACAAGAGAGAGAGAGAGTAGAGCTACGCATGTATCTCTTTTTCTGGGTTCATCTTCTTCTCTCCTCCCAAAAGTCAAAACTA